AAATGGGACGAGGTTAGATTGGGTTGTCTGGTCGGTGCAGACGAGTTGGACCGAAGGTTCTGTTTCTGTGCTGTATGACTCTATGACTCAATAAAAATGAACTTCCACCATAAAGCTGTAGCGCAAAAGTACCCAAATTAAACACTTATAATTCACAACTCAAAGTAAAATGAAGATGAAGAGAGCTTTTATAAAAGGCTGCTTGTAGTGAACCAAAGAACCACTGACTGCTCGTGAAAAATAGTGAAAATAGAAAATTGTGGCTAATCTTACACAGGCAGAATTTCTTACTGACATTAACCTAAAGGAGAAAGTTCAAAAGTCTAAAGAGAAAATAATTTTCCATTCATTGGGTATGCGTGTCACTAATTACCCTTGAGAAGTTGGTGGTGAGTTGTTTGTTGGACCACGTGATGCAGTTATGCCCACAGTACTGTTAGTTTGGGTATTCCAGGATTTTGATCAAGTGCTGAGAAAGGAATGATGATATATTTCCAAGTCAGCATTAAGTGTGACTTTAAGGGGTATTTGCAGGTGGTAATGGACAAAAGTGAAAAAAATTATTGGCGGATGTAGAATAAAAAAACGGGAACATCAGTTCAATGGTCTTTGCTTCCGGATTTTGCTGTTGAGATGATCCCTCTTCAGCTATCCAGACCACTTGTTCAGATGCCTTTCCCTGGATACTTCCACTGGTTTGTAAGAAGTGCAGAGTAACTTATTCACTTGTACAATGTCCTTGAATGATTAATTCAAAAGCCACAGCTAATAGCATCTGCTGTAGGAAAGGTAACTGGTTTTCTTCCGGTTTAAACTGAGTTTTTAAACTGCAGAGTGCTGGGAACATTCAGGCTGGAAGAAGTTCTGCACACTATTTTTCCCCTCTGTCTCTGTAACTTGCTGCCCGCACCAAGCAGCTCAGCCACCTGAGAACCAATCACATGGCTGTTGGCAAGCAAAATGTCTCTGTCATTGGTCTGTGGACTAGTGACAGTTATGAGGGAACTTCTTGTTGCCAACAAGAACAAACCTTTGGTTCCAGATTTTCTGCAATTTGAACTTCAATTACTCCTTGTTCCAACAGTTACTTACAATGCCTCAGAGATAGTAGGAACTTCAGATGCTGGAGAATCTGACCTAACAAGGTGTAGAGCTGGATGAACACAGCAGGCCAAGCAGCATCAGAGGAGCAGGAAAGCTGATGTTTCGGGTCTGGACCCTTCTTCAGAAATGGGGGAGGGGAAGGGGATTCTGAAATAAATAGGGAGAAAGGGGGAGGCGGATAGAATATGGATAGAGAAGATAGGTGGAGAGGAGACAGACAGCTCAAAGAGGCGGGGATGGAGCCAGTAAAGGTGAGTGTAGATGGGGAGCTAGGGAGGGGATAGGTCAGTCCAGGGAGGATGGACAGGTCGAGG